ATCGTAGGCGAAGACCTGTTGAACCTGAATCCAGTGACTGGGATGAAATCGAGGAGGATAATAATCCGGGTTACCAGCATAACTTCACGTACAATGAAATCCCAAAGCATTGCCCACCCAGAAACTCCTCACCAATAACCTATTTCTATCTATTTTTTACAACTGATTTGATAACAAAATTTGTGGTAGAGAAAAACAGATACACTACAAATTACTTGCGACCTGCTGAACACGGCTCGTCACCCCAGAGTACATTGAGATCTTGGGTAAGTTTAACCTCTGAGGAATTCAAAGGCTTCCTTGCTGTCATTATAAACATGGGCATAATCCGGAAGCCATCGTCCCTGTCTACTGCTTGGTTTCCAAAAATGTTCTCTCGAACCCGATTTGAACTTTCTTTAAATTTCTTTCATTTGGTTGATGGCAGCAAACTAGTGAAACATGGCGGACCAGGCTATGGCCCATGCGCAAGATTTCAACCACTCATCGATCATCTTAACTGGTTAGCCAAGTTTTAAGTACCCTACCAGAAACTATCTGTCAATGAGTCGTTAGTGGGGACAAAAAAGAGGATTGGCTTGACCCAATACCTACCAAAAAAAATCACAGGTGGGGAGTGAAACTGTGGGTACTGTGTGACGCTCTAACCCATTACTGCATGGCACTTTTTTGCTACAAAGGTGCCAAATACAGAGAAAATGACGAAAAAACCACTGAGCATGCCACTGAGGCCATGGCCTGGCATTCTCTGTATGCAACTAACTACTGAAAATCACTAACTGTTTGAACAAATGCTTCCATCTATTTTTAGATAATTTGTTCTCCTCTCTACGCCTAACTAGATACCTATATTTTAAATTAACTTGGCTGATAGGAACTGTTGACAGAGTAGGTGTGCGCAATGTTTTACGGGGGAAATACGCTGTTGGTAAAAAAAATACATTTTGTATGTCCCGCCTTGTACATGGTCTACCGAGAGAAACCGACCAACAAATCCCAGTATATTCTGTTATCAACAGATAGCAAGGCAGAAAATGTCAGATACACAAAAATGAGAAGTAGGAAAATAATTGTAAAGACTAAGTATTGAAAGAAACTAACTTGCTCACTGTCGATTTACAATCACATGGTTTATAATTAATTAAATCATGTGTATGTTCCGACAACGGAACCCAGTTTGTCTCCCATCTGTTCAAAAGAATGTGCTTTGGGCAGGTATTCACCAGGTGACTAATGCTGGGGCTTTTAAAGCAATACCTTGCCTTGCCCATACAATTGATTATAAAAGATGGGCTTTAGGCCAGAGATGTATTGCAAACCTTTCTGCGGTTTGTAGGAAAACAGTCGGGCATTTCAAGCACTCTGCAAAAGCAATAAAAGCACTCAAAGCGGCACAAGCAACATTGGGCCTACCGAAACACAAACTCATACAAGATGAACCCACCCGTTGGAATTCCACCAAACACATGATGGATAGACTGATAGAACAACGACGGGCAATATCTCTAGCAGCACCAGACTTAACCTACCGACTGAAATCACTACACCTGATTGGGAGCTAATGGCTAATGTTGTGAAAGTGATGAAGATTTTTGATGATGCCACCTTCCAGTCAAGTTCTTCGCTCACTACAATATCAGAAGTGATACCGATTGTGAAGGAGTCAGCTATCTGCAGTGAGTGGAATTGTCCATTGTTCAGTTATAAGGATTCAATATTTTAAAGTATCTAGTGAATTACAAGGTTAAATTTTACATGTATGCAGTAAAAACATTGGGAAGTACTATTCTAGTTACTGAATAATCAATCTTTTATTCTATTTTTGTAAATAGTGTGATATTTAAGAATTAAAGTACTCACTTTTCAGTACCTATGTAGAAAAGCACATGTTTTGAAGATCATATTTAACTGTATAGAACATCATTATGGGCACTGCACCAGTAAAGTTAGAGTAAAATATATAATTTTTACTTGTAAATAAATAAGTTGAAAACTTAAAAGTGATATTATTTTACTCAGAAAGACTCTGTAAAAACAATAAATATTAGTCAGTTTGGTTAGAGTAGTAATTTCCTGGAGAAACATTAAAAACAAACTGATCTTTTTCACGGCAACTATACATCTTATCAGTTGTGGCAACTACAGACTACAAAGTTCAGGCCTGTTATCCGAGCTGGACTACATAAACTGACAAGATTATAGATTATAGCTTATCGTTACTGACTACCTGTAAAGTCGAGTTATTCATGATTATAGTAATTAATTTTTGAGCTAGAGCTCAACATTGTTGCCATTTTCAAAACAAGGATATTTAGTTTTTCTGAGAGTAAACCAATCAATACAAATCAAAGAAAATTAATTAAAATGCATGACAAAAATTAAAATAATGTATGAAAATGTATGAACAACTAAAAAAAAATTCATTCGTTTTAAAAATATAGTAGCATACATGTTTTGAAGTATAAATAAAATAAATTAATGTTTTAAAAAAAATTAAAATAAGCTTATTCAGCAGACAAAAATGACCAAAAACCCATGTGGAATTTGTAAAAGAGGGGCAGGGTCAGGCTCCGTTTTTTGCAAAGGTTTCTGTGGTTATTGGTACCATAAAAGATGTATGAAGGATATGACGGATGTGCAATTCCGTGAAATCTGCAAAGAGGGTACTCAACACAAATGGAAATGTTATAACTGTAAGAAATCTGAAACTAATCAGGAAAACATGACAATGAATAAATGTTGTAAAAGAAACAATCAAAAATCTTGATATAAACAGCAACTCAAATGAGGACCTGGAACGCTCACTTACAATTGCACCAGAGGGTGGCAGAACTCAGAACAGTTCTAGACCTCATTTTAAAAGATTAGGGATTTTAACCATCACAAGTATGTACATTTTTGAAATGATTAATCTATTAATTAACAATATAGATAATTTTGAAGAGTTTAAATTTACACATAACTATTCCACACGTCAGAAACATTTATATCAATTCCCAATACATAGACTAACTCTTTTTGAACGTACACCAAAGTACATGGCTATACAAATTTTTAATAAACTTCCAAAAAGAATCACCAACAATCCAAAAAACATACTCCTAGAAAAATTACATGAGTTATTAATTGAAAAGGCATATTATAAAATAGAAGATTTCTATTCTGATGTTTTCTAAACGGACAAGAATTGGGTTAATTTTGTAAACTAAATTCACTTTGAATACATACCTGATAGCTTTCATTGATTTTAGCAGGATTTTATCTTATTTGTTGTTTTTTATAAGGGTAACTTTTACTTGATGTCAGTAGTAATAATTTTGAGTTGTGTAAATTTATTAGTTATAGTATTTTTTTTTAATTTTTTTTTTTACGACACTCCTGTCTTTGTACGTTGTACTATGTAAGATGTTATGAGTGAATAAAGAATTTGAATTTGTGAAGGGTGCAATCAAAGAACTTGAAAACTTGATGCAGGTACCAGGAATAAAAGCATTTGCTACAAAACTGGTGCAACCTATTAACACTAGATATGCTGATGAGAATGTAAAGGAATATACTATTGCAACATTGTTGGATCCCAGATTGAAGGCTACAGTGTTTATTTCACCCGACAATTTAAGGAAGGCGAAAAGGGATTTGTTGGAAGAAACTGAGCTTCTTTCACCAAGCGATAGATGTTCTGCCAAACTCCAACCACAGGTAAGTAAAATATTTCACCGATTATTTTTTTTGCTTTTACAAATCATAATAAGGCCTATAGGCCCTAATAAAAATTGGATGTTTTTAAATAGTTTTTAAAGTTTAATTTTTTTTTATTTATCTCTATCAATGCTTAAGAAACCAAATTAAACTTAAATTATAAATTACAGCTTAATTTTTTTCTCCCAATCAAAGGTAGGCTAACTTTATTACTAGCCTACCTTATTCAATTTAGGCCTATCTCTATCAATCCTTAACAATTGATATCTATCAATCCTTAAAAATTTATGTCTATCAATGCTTAATAAACCAAATTAAACTTAAATTTTAAATTACAGTAGAACTTGGATAATTTGAAAACTTTGGAACCACACAGCTGCAACATATGGAATTTTTGGAAGATGTTTTGGAAGAAGTATTCGTCCTTTCCAGGGCTTGGGGATCTTGCAATCAAATATTTGTCAGCTCCACCAGCTACAGTCTTCTCAGAGAGACTATTTTCAACTTCTGGGATAATTTGTGACAGGAAAAGGAACCGTTTGGATCCTCATTGTATCCAAATACTCGTATTTTTGAACAAAAATGTTAAAATCAAATAAACTGAGGTACCGTACCTAGGTTAAGTATTTGCTTCGTAACCAACTATCATGAAGGAACTTTAAATACTTTGATACAAATTGGTTGGTTTGAGATCTAACCTAAGTAAAATTTACATTCTTGTAAATAACAACCTACTTACGTTAAATTTTATTTTTTTAAGACTTTGTAAATGTACATACGGTATATGATCATGATTACTGTAGGCTATAATTTATGTTTGTGTGTTTTTTGTGTTTGCAAATAATGTGTTTTTTTTTTCAACTCAGAAATTACACTCAACTAAATATGAGTTTACCAAATTTGCTTAGAAAATAACCAGTTATCACAGAACTGCAGATATACTTTGTTAAAGATTTGTCGATTTGTGGTCAGTTTGAGATCTATCAATATTTTTGCAAAACTCTCATTCTTTTAAATAAAAACCTACCTAGCCTACAGTACTTTAATTTTAATTTTTGAGATTTTGTAAGTTGGCATACATTTATTTTTTTAATTCCCGAAATTATTGTCACATAGTTTGAAAACAGCCCTTTGGTGGTACAAGTTACAGTTTTTTCCCAAAACTCTCACAAAATGTAAAAAGGGTTCAGAGGTTTTGGCTATTACTTTCAATCGGGTGGCTAGAGTTTTCCTCTGTCACAAAAAATGTTTTTATTATTTTTGTCAGCATCCAAAGGTTTAACATTAGTAACCAAACTTGCCTGTAGAATTCTGGCGACAGACAGAAGCAACACACCAAAAAGGAAGCCATTGTATTGGAAATGGATGTGGTCTACGATGATGAGGCCAGCATTTCCAAGCAACAGAAGCTGCAAGATAGCTGCTGGCGAGCCCCAGCGTAAACCCCAGCGACTGCTCTTGCGTACTCCACTACCACTGAGATACTGGCAACATCTACACATTGTGAATAAATTAACCAAGAGACAGCAAAACAATCACAGGATATAGTTATCTCCCTACTGTAACTAATTGAAACTTGATATTATTACTTTAAGGGTGATTATCAAATTGAGGGACAATTCATGTCCCAAGAAAAAAAAGTTACAAACTTAATACAAACACATATTGCTGTTGTTTATTTATGTCGATTATATCTCATTCCATCCTTATTTGTAGCATAAACGATGAATAAACCAGTTTTAAATAAGTTAAAAGTAAATTTTCGTCAGTTTCGTTACTGTCCCCAGAGGATTCAATATCATGAAACTCTATAAAAATGTAGAATCAATATGAAGTACATAAAATATGTATGAAACATAATCGTTCAAATGAGTATATATTTTAAACACATTTAAACTCTCAATAATATTTGTATATATAAAGAAAAAACAAAAAACAGAATGTCCCCAACCTTTGTAATCGTTTGCCAAGCTATTTAAATTTCGCGCTACAGACAGGATTGGCCGATATCCCACCCAACCATACTAATGTGGCAAAGTGATTGAAATAAGTTACCGGCATAAGTGTTCTAAGTGAATCGTTTTATTGTTAATTGTAACGAAATTAAAGAAAACAGGATCCCTTTATTTCACATCAGTTTTGTTACACGTGTTTAAAGAAAACTACTAGTATTACGTTTATTCAAATCAAGGTTTAGCAGAAGACACCATGGCCAGCCAAAACATAACCTATGATTCGTTGCTCACTTCAGTGATGCTTGACGCAAACTGGCAACAAAAAATGTCATGATTGTCAGTTTTGTTATGGTCATTTTCTTTCTGTTACCAAAGTACCTCAAGGTTTCGTAACGTGATGAAACTGACAAAATCATGATGGAACTGACGAAACGTGATGTAAATTACGATCTTTGAATTCCACAAACATAACTGATCGTTTTTATAATTCTAGCTTTCAACATGCTATTTAAGAACACGTAAATTAATTTACTGGACAATATTAATCCGTTTAGCAAACTGTGAATTTGTTGTCGCAACCAAATTTATTGTCCCTTTTTAATTTTTCCCTCTCTTGTCTTTATCCCTGATGTTTTCTTGTTTTTATTTTCTATATCATACTATATAGGCTATGTCATTTTATCTTTATATTTTTAGGATGTAATTTAATGTAGGATTTTTTGGTTGTGGAACTGGTAGACGAAAATGGGGAAAAAATCAAAGAGCAATAAAATTTCAGAAAAATGTGTAAGGCAAAATAAACTAGCTGCCAGTTGTCAGAAAAAATACAGAGATAAAATGTCAGAGGACCAAATGGCAGAATATAGGAGGAAGGCGAGAGAAAGATACCAAAAGAGGAAAGCTGAAAAAAGTGCTTAAGATCAAAAATGGAAAAAAGACTTAAAGAAGTACTGCTATAAAAAGAAAGCACTAGAGAAGGCATTTCCAGTCTGAAGATGAAGAAGTTAATGAAGTTGTACCTCAACCCGTTTCAAGACAGCACACCAGTGCCAGAATGAAAGTGAGGCAAAGATAAACTAAAAAATAAGATGAAAAAATAATCAATCTGGAAAGAAAACGAGAAACGTCTAAAAGGCAACTGCAAAGATGTGATAGGCAAAGATAATGTATCCCCACAAGTAAGAAAACGATTGTTCGTTGGATTCGCATTAGAAAAACAATTAAAAACCCTGTTGAAAAGGGTGAATCCAAAAACTAAAGAGAGGAAAATAATACAAAAAGTAGTCGGCATGAAGATCCTACGAAAATATACTCGTAGATTGCAAAACAACACATAATTCCCTACAAAAGCAATAAATAGGATTCCGAAAAGGTAAATGTAGATTATTTAAAAAAAATTACAGGACTATTAAAATTAAAAATTCTAAAATAGGTACTTCAAACTTTTTTTAAGATGACAGTGTATCTAGAATGTGTCCTGGAAAGAAAGATGTCGTGAAGAAAGGTAAAATAAAGAAACAACGACGTTTCCTTTTGGACACTGAAGAATCTTTATTCAAGATTTGTTACAGAATTTGGGCAAAGAATTTCATACTACACATTCACTAGTGTGAGACCGTTTTGGGTTCAGCAAAGAAAGACAACGTGCGCATGCATAGTTCACAAAAACATGCAACTTTTAGAGAACAATTTGAACCTTTGAATATAATTCAGTTTTCAAACATTAATGATGTTGTTGATTGTGAATCCAAAGAAGTAGACTTCATTTCTGATCATATAATAGAAAATGTTAAATTCCATCAATGGAAAACTGCATTTGAAACTAAAATTATCAAGGGGGTCTAAAGATGTTGTGAAAAAAGGTAAAATAAAGAGACAACTACGTATCCTTTTGGACTTTGGACACTATGAAGAATCTTTATTCAAGATTTGTTACAGAATTCGGGCAAAGAATTTTTTACTCCACATTCACTTGTGTGAAACCGTTTTGAAACCCAATACAATACAATACCTAATTGAATACGGCCAATACAAAAGGTAAAATAAATTTAATAGCTTTATAAACATCTCTACGTTCTCAAGGATTGTGTTTGTAAAAGTTCTTCTCAAAATCTTTTCAATGCCAAGATCTTTTTTTGCACAAAACTAGCAGTGATTTTATACTCATAAATATAGAGGTTTTCTATTATCTTTTTACATTAAATGGATAAGCTATTCAAATACATAATTTTATACTCGGTTGCTGAGAGATTAATTCGTTGTTTTTCTTTCAGGTGCACTAAAAGAAAAAACTACAGAAAATGTTTCCTGTGCCTCAACTAATATAGACCTGGACAGCTCCCATCTTAAAGACAAGCAAGTTGAAGTTGAGGATTTCGCAAATTATGATACCTCTCATTTAATAATTCTTTTATTGATGAAGTTGTTTTAAGTGCTTCAAGTGTGATTGAAGAAAGCCAACAATCGCATAGGAAAAGAAAGAGATATAAAAATTACTTATTCTCTTATGAGGAATTTGAGTTAAGTGCTTCTAGTGTGACTGAATAATGCCCAGAAAGCCAACAAATGACTAAAAAAGGAAAGAGTTATGAACATGACTTATTCTCTGATAAGGAACCAAACCCCAATGACCATGATTATTTGCCAATCAAGATTTGTTACAGAATTTGGGCAAAGAATTTCGTACTCTACATTCACTTGTGTGAAACCGTTTTGGGTTCAGCCTCCCAAAAAACATGGGACATGGTTTTCAGTATTAGCAACTTGTACCCCAAGACAAGAAAGGCAAGAAAGTACCCCTTCACATCTGTCTGAGTACCTTGATTTTACGTTTTTTCGTGACTTCTCACAAAAAGAAACAACGACCTACGAATCGATTCGGCCTGGTAAAAAACTAGGGAATCCCAAAGTTACTGCCCTGCCAGCCTTAAGGTACAATCCTAATGGAACCATCGACTACAAACTCAATTTGAACGATGACTATACACCCTTGCCTGTAAGAGCAAAACCAATCTCTGGGTGTGTTAACTTTCCCCAGTTGAACAGCTCAAGACTGAAAATCAAGAAATCAAAATGGGACCATCTACAAGAGTCACATCCCAACAGATTGTCATGACTATTACGACAATATTCCATTTGTTTCAAGTTAGATCATCAAAACGTGTAAGGAATAGATTTTTTATCATTTTACTAAGTTGAACTGGCCCAACTTAACTCTTTAATTATGTTAAAAGCGGCATTTTTGGACAGGGTTAGGCTATCGATATAAGTTTTAAAATACTTTTTAATTAAGGTACAAATCTTTACAATTTTACCATGTTTATTTTATTGTCGCTTCTGTCCAAATCGCTCCCTAACCGAAAACTGGCTGAGACTGGACGGAGCGGACTGGACGGAGCGGACTGAACTGAGCGGACCCAGTGTGCGGCTCTACATTTGAATAGGTACATGGTCTTCAAAATTAGCGGAAGGGACTGAACTGAGTGGACTCAGTGTGCGACGTGCCTTAAACAAAATATTCGTCGCTTAAGAAACAACACCGCCTAAGTGACATTTTTTCCAAAAATGAGATTTTCATTTCCAAGGTTTCTGCACTGCTTTAGGTCAGCTGTGAAGACTTAGTTTAGTTGAATTCCACCAGAATGTGCAGTTATTCACTGTTTTTCAAACACCGCCTATCTGCTGCTTAAGAACCAACACCACCTATCTCCTTTAGTTCAGCATTGTGTCTAATGGGTGAAAGAGCATCACTGTTGCTAAGCTTGAGATTTTGGTAAGTTAACAAAGTTTATTTATTAGGATAGTTGTTGTTTCTACCTTATAATTGAAGTTTGATTGTTTGACTATCTATTGGTGTTATTGCTTTAAGAGTGTGATTTATTTTAATATTTGTTTAATGCTTTTAAATTTGGCTTTGGACATAGGCGGAGTTGTTACTTAAAAGTTTAGCAAATCTGTTGGACATAGGCGGAGTTTCTAATGTTACAACTAGGCCTACACGGTAAAGTATTTCTGCCAGTCCCAACAAGTTAAAATTATTGTGTTTAATTTATTATTTTTAACTAGGGGGAGGGTGGGATGAAAACTTGTTTTTACTTATTATGATGGAAAATGCCCGCAATAATCCCATACCATAACCAAAAATGAACTTCAAACAAAGAAGTTATTATTACTAGCCTACTTTACTTTTAAAACTTTTCCCTGTCAATGAAACTTAAAAATTAGCAGGTTAGGTCTCCATGATTGAAATAAAGTATGACTGTTTCTGCATGTAATGTGTTGTGTTGCAGGTAACACAATCGGTGACTCAAGTGAAGGTGATGATGAGCTCGAAGACTTTTTTACAAGCAAGGAAATTCTGCGTGAAATGGGCTTCACCAGCAGCCTAATCGAAAGAACCATGCTAGATGGAAAAATAGAAATGCAGACCAAGAGTGTCTCTTCAGGTAACCTATTCTTAGACCATAGGCACTAGTAGCTCCATTATTTTGAATTTTAAATTTGAAAATTGCCTGTAATTTTATGTTATCCCTTTATTTTTGACCATACATACATGTGGCGTAGGCATACTTTATTTTAGTAGTAAAATAAAGATTAGTAAACTAATTGGTTTTTTACAGATATATCAACCGGAAATGCAGCTTGCAGCAGCAGCTCAAGTGATATCAACATACCAAGATCTAGAAAAATGCCTACGCCCTCTATTTATGAAGATGATCCTTTATTTAGCGATGTGTCAGATCCTGATGACCCTGACTACGCACCAGATATGGACGTCAATGATGTACAGGAGATGGATGCTGGAGATTTTCTTGATGATACACCTAACTCAGAAAATAATAATGACCCAGAAAATGAACATAGAACAACACAAGACATGGACATGGACATTGAACAAAGGACAAATAGTACTGCACAAGAAAATGAAATTAGTAACAATCCAGTAGACCAAAGTGGGCTTGCTCTGGACAATGAAGAAGACAACCAAGAAAACCAAAATAGACCAGCTAAGCTCAGAAATAAAAACAATAAACAAAATTGGAGCAAAGTTCAAAATTACGATAAGAGGCAAAAAGGAGAAGCTTACCTTGGATACAGAAGTTAACCCTGGGAAAATTGCTCATGACGTGCCAAGGGAAGCAAAGGTGATTGGACCTCGCTGCCAATCAAGAGCGTGTGTACGTTCTAAGCTCAGAGCATGCCCAAAGATAACGGAAGAAGAGAGACAAAGTATGTTTAACAGATTTTGGAAAACAATGAGTTGGGACCAGAGGAGAGTTTATATCGTCAGTCTGGTAGATAAGACTGTTATTTCCCGAAGTAAAACAGAACCTGAGATGTCTAGAAGAACTGAAACCTTGAAATATCATCTTGTTATAAATAATGAACGTCTCCAAGTATGCCGACTTACATTTTTGAATACATTTGGTATAAAGAAATGGACCGTTCGCTACTGGTTGTATGGCGACGGAAAACAAACTCCAAATCTCTATGTAAGTGAAAAAAAAAACTGTGCATTCATCGTCAATAACACGGGAGTCAAAAAAAGGACAGCCAAAGAAAAGGGAAGATATTGATTTTCTGAAGAAGAAGTTTTTTAACATGATATTTATGATATTTATTCTCAATTGACAACTGTGATCTCTTCTGTGATATAGGCTAAGTTTTACATGTATGTTACATAAGGTCTACTGTGATAATGTTCATGACTCTGTTACATTTTCTAGTTTATAGTTTTCTTTGACAATGTCTATTGCACAACCGTGTCTAATGACAATAAAGCATTCTTATTCTTATTCTTATTCTTAAGTCTTTGCCAAAGCTTCCCTCCCACTATTGTAGGAGTAACTCTACCAAGCTGTACCTACATAGAACCTACATTCGATTCAATATCAAAGTTTATGTGTTATACCAGGATGAATGTAACAAGATTGGAAAAAAGGTCTTGAGTAGATTTACTTTTGATAAGGTTTTTGATAAGGAAAGTCTGTCAATTTTTCAGCCTAAAAAAGATGTCTGTGATTTGTGTAACAGTTTCAAGATAAAAAGTCGAACGGTATCTCAACAACAATACGAAGAGCACATCTTACAGAAAGACAGAGCTCGAGAAGAGAAGAAAAGGGACACAGAAAAAGCAAAGGCCAAAGAAATTCATATGTATACTCAGGATACTCAAGCTGTGAAACTTGCCCCGTGTGTTAATGCATCGTCGATGTATTATAAAACGAAATTCTGTGTACATAACTTTACCATGTTTAATAATGGTACAGAGGACGCGATGACCTATTGGTGGGAGGAAAGTCAAAGTGACCTTAGCGCATCGTCTTTTGCTTCTTGTGTTGTTGATAACCTAAAACACACACTTAATGATGATCTAAAAAGTGTAGTGGTGTGGTCCGACGGTTGCTGTAATCAAACCCAAGCGCTACTATGTCCAATGCACTGTTACACCTATCCATGGAAAAGAAGTAATCATAGAACAAACATATTTAGTTAAGGGGCACACAATGATGGAGTGTGACAGTGTGCACTCCACAATTGATACGGTCCTAAATCCCAAGAGAAGGACAAAAAATAAAAAAACCGTCAAGGAAATATTCCTCCCAAGCCAGAATGCCGAATATGCTTAGGATGCCAGGAAGAAACCCTTCCCATATAGGTCTAAATACTTGGATTTTTCTTTTTTTCGTGATTTTTCTAAAAAATAAACGATGATGTATGACTCAATACGTCCTGGCAAAAAAGTTGGAGACCTCAAAGTTCAGGACCTCAGGGCTTTAAAATACAGCCCTAATGGTTTGATAGAATACTAAGTGAGCTTTGATGATGATTACAAAAAATTGCCTGTGAGACAAAACAAAACGGCGTCTCGCGTTTTTCCTCGTCTACACAATAGCAGATTAAAGATTAAAAAATCAAAATGGGACCATCTGCAAGAACTTAAGGCCCATATTCCACGAGGTTGCCATGACTACTATGACAACATTCCGTTTGATAGCTAAGCAAAAGAGATGAAAGACTTTCCTCCAGAGGATTCGAGCTGTAGCCCCAGTGAGGTTCAGAGCCCGCCTGACGCCTTCCACCCAACAACAGACAATAACGTTCACAAAAGGCAAGTGACCTGTGAACATTCTTTTGCATTTTTGTTTTTCAAGTGATTACACCATTCGCCTTTTTGTTCCCTGGTCCCTCTAAGTTTTAACTCTTTGAACATTTTGCAACATTCGCCTCTTTGTTTCCTGATCCCTCTTAGTTTTGACCCTTTGAACAATTTATGAACACGTAAAAAATAGATTTTAGAAGTGACCTGTGGACATTCTTTCGCATTTTTTCAAGTGATTTCACCATTCGCCTTTTTGTTCCCTGGTCCCTCTTAGTTTTAACTCTTTGAACATTTTGCAGCATTCGCAACAATTTATCAACTCGTAAAAAAATAGATTTTAGTTAAATATTGATTGTGAATTTTATTTATGAAAATATTATAACAACCTATTAATCTTTGTTTAATCTCATATTATTTATGACTACCTATGCCTATAATACCCATAGATCCAAAAAGAAACAGACATCACCGCCTATCTTTAACTTATAACACCGCCTATCTTTAACTTATAACACCCCCTATCTCCGTTACCAAAAATAAAAACCGCCAACACCGCCTATCTCCAATAAAACTTTTATATAAAGTACGGTAATTATTTATATTCAAAAGAATACCATCAGCAACAGACATAAAAAACAAAAAAAACATATCATATAGTATATTTCTATAAAATTAAAACGTTTTTTGCTTCCCCTGAAAAATTACAGCAATGTCACTTGGGCGGTGTTGTTTCTTAAGCGACGATATGTTGCTATAAACCATTGGTTTCACACTTTCAACACCGCCTATCTCCAAAAATCTAAAATAGGCCTAAATAAGGACAACACCGCCTATCTCCATTATTTTATTATAATTTGATTGAATGCCGAAATCATGTCTATTATCATTAACAATGGCCTTAACCCATAAAAAAAAACAAATTATATGATTCTCATTGTAATATGACAATTTTTGTAACGTTTTTACTTCCTCCTGTAAAATCTGGGAAATGTCACTTAGGCGGAGTTGTTTCTTAGGCGACGATATAATAGATGATGTTAAATTCCATCAATGGAAAACTGTGTTTGAAACTAAATTTATCAAAGGGGTCTAGAGGAAAATGAGAAAAACAGTAAAGTGTGAAGTGTCTGAGCCAGTATCAAAAGTTAAACAAATTTGTTTAAGTCCCCAGACATTAAAAAAAACACGTTGCCAATCTAAGATATCAAGCCAGAACCTTCAGGCAGCTGAAGAAAAATCTTAAGGACGGGGTTTTGGTTTTACACATAGACTTTTCCCAGAACTATGTAGCAAAGTATGCAACCGAAATCCAGGATAGACATTTTGGAGCCTCCAAACGTCAGATATCGTTGCATACAGGGCTGATGTATTATTCCAATGGTGACGAAACAATGTTACATGGCACTGCACTTCAATTATAATTCCGATTTATTTTTAGTTTTAGTTTAGTTCAGTATAATTATTGCTTGAGAAAAATTCACTGTTCCGTTGGAGTTCAGATGCACAACACTGACTGCTTTTTATTCTGCACTGCACATGCGCGGCACCTCCGTTCCTTCTGTCACTTCTGTCCAAATCGCTCCGTAACCGAAAACTGGATGAGACGGACGGAGCGGACTGAACTGAGCGGACCCAGTGTGCGGCTCTACATTTGAATAGGTACATGGTATTCAAAATTAATGGAAGGGACTTAACTGAGCGGACTCAGTGTGCGACGTGCTTTAAACAAAATATTGTATTCTGTTTAAATATAGACCTGTGTACTTATAATGCTTATTATTTAACCACCTGACTTATGCAAATAGTTGTTGACACTATCATATGCCTACTTTAAGTATACCTGTGTCATTGACTAAGAAACAGTGTTATTAACTGATCAATATGCACCTATTTTCTTTCATTCAAAGAAAAAAAGTACCAAATTTAGTAATTTAAAAACATGTCTTTATTATATTAGTATGGTAAACACGATAAGATTTCAAACCTAACTATTCTACTTAGATCTTCCTACAACAAACTGTTACCATCAAACAAATTGTCATAGTTTGAGCAAATGGTTGAGGAGCCACAGTAATTCCTTAAACTGTCATTCACTAGGTAGTTTAACTTATAGTATAAACACGGCTTGGCATCAAAACAACACTCTTTTTTCGGGTGGTTTCCTAACTAATTCTATAAATATCACATAGATTAAGAAAAAGATTTTACTTACTCTTTAATTCCATAGGCGAACACTAAATCAGTCACGATAACTGTTAGTCTTTGAAAAACTACAGTCTCATATGATGCATAGTTTAAATTTTTGACTTGCAGCATTTTGGGATCAAAGAAAACCGCAATTTGAGAAAGGATGAATTCAAACCAAGCGAAAAGAGGGGGATAGTCCAGGGTCCATTCCGATGTAGCTTCATTATACCACTGGCGCAACGGCAAACTGTGGGTGATTGCCAGCCAGTTACGGTGGACTTCAAAATCTGTTGATCGGCTATACCAAGAAAAAAAAAATCATTAGAATTAATTGGGATAAGCACGTCTAAACAGATTAACAATTCAAAACTCTTGGTAACATATTCACGTTTTATTAAGCAGTAAATAGAAGCTTAGGCTCATTTACCTAAAGACTAGATTACTGGTAGCCTATATTTGCATTAAAATAATTATTCTATCTATCTATATATTAATAGGAAAGCATGTTTCTTTAAAACCTTTTTTCTCAGCTCGTGTGCATCGCAGGCAAAATCTACTCATACTGTTAGAAAGATATTTTCCTGTAGATGTGCAGAATCCCTTTAAAAATTCAAATAGGCTAAAAAATAAGCACAAAAAATGAATTTGAAATTTTAAAAAATTAACATGGGTTTTATGGGTTGCCATGCTGGTGACGAAATAACAAACAACGAATCATAAACAGAAAATCAAAACAAATGTAAGAAATTCCAATCACATGTTTTATTTACAGTGTGGGGTGAAAATAAAGAAGACTGTAAATAACATATTTTTGGTCGAGTTTTCGACCACGGGACGACCTCTAGTTATCATTAATATGAATCGTAGTCGCCATTGACATAAACGGGTATAGGAAAATATTTATTCTGAATGATTATTCAGATTATCTACTCAAATTATCAATCGATTACAACTACTGACTTAACACTCACAAGCACCAAGGTAAATGTTATTATTGAATTGGGGCAGCCCTGGGAGATTGGTAGAACTAATCCACCACAGTAGTTGTATCTAATCTACTAATTTACCACTCGAACTTAGTCACTAACAAGACTACAAGATCGTGCCACTCATCCTACACTCATCCTTCACTCATATTTGGGTTAAAATACGCACATAGTGGTGTCCCCATCTTAAATAGTTGATTGATTGATAGTTTCTAACCCTCCCCTTCCATGTGGTGTGGTTATCAGTTGGTTCAGCTTTAGAGTTTGACCTTTTTATATATCGTTGTTTGAAATCATAGTGGTCTGCCTGACCGTAGTGATCTGGTTACCATTTTTTTGTGACAATCTTGTAGGTGTTTCATTTACAGTATTTAATGGCTTGTGAAACCGGTGTTTCAATTTATGATTTTCTATCTATGCTTTAATTGGTAAAAATAGGTGAAATGGCTCGTAAAAATGATAAAAAGGATCCTGATTTAAATTATAGAATTCGAGACCTTTTATCATGAATCACATTGGAAATTCAATTAAGTTACCGTACTGACAAAATTGATGATTCGTACACAGTTTCAATCTGAAGAGGAACATAGTCAAGCTGTCTCATTAGAATCAGATAAAGATAACAACCTCGGATAAAGAATATAATGACAATCCCATGGAAATCACAGAAAATTACAACCTGCCAGCGTATTTTGTCAAAAGGAGGAAGAAAAGAAATCTGGCCAATCGCATGGGAGTGTATTTGTAAAGCTCCTCCAAATCAGGTCAAATTAATGTATTTTCCAAATTTTATCAAAACATGTTCATAAACAAGCAAACTACAACAGTTGACTTATTCTCCATAAGATTAACATGGAAATTTTAAATTTAAAATTTTCTGCATAACTATTAGGCGCACAATAACGCTTCAAATATACCAAATTATTTGTTTTTTTATGCTCTTCAATATGGTTTGAAAGAAATTGTGATATCTTGTGTTTATAGGGTCAAAAATGGGAAAACCCTATGGCCCTTATTAAACGAGGCAGCCAAGTTGCGCAGCCAGCCGGGCAGCCAGTTGGCCAGCCAGTCACTCGGCATTGGTTCTTATGGAGCTTATTACACGAGGGCAGCCAGTTGCGCAGCCACTGTTTGGCTGCCGGCTGGTTGCCGAGCCCGGCGACCGCACCACTGGCTGCTCGGTCTGGTCGCGCTCCTGTGTAGCTTACGGATCTTATTACACTGGGCAGCCAGTCGCCCGCTGCCACACATCAGTAGTCAGTAGTAGATCATCACTCGTGGTCGTGGAAGTGCGCTCATCTCTGCCGGTCACATCATTGTGTGTTGTTTTCCTCAGTATTCTTTTGGTGAACAATGTCGTCTGATTGTGAAGTGAGTGTGAATGTTGTAGCAAACAACGAGAATAGTGAAGTGAGTGTGGTTGGAAGTTGCAATAAATCTAAAAAGAAGAAACAGGGAGATGGCTCTAAAATTACTGCACCAAAAAGGTGTCTCTCCCCAACAGAAACTGTTCCACCAACACTGTTCCACCAACACTGTTCCACCAACACTGTTCCACTGTCAACAAGAGACTGGCCTAGTTGGTAATTTTGTGGCTGCCCTGTGGCTGCTCTACTGGTTGCTACGCTAGGCAGCCAGACAGGCGACTGGCTGCCCGGCTGGTTGCGCAACTTGGCTGCCTCGTCTAATAAGAGCCTATTTCTCCGGTAAACCGCCGTTGTTCCCAGAGTCCAATCATGCTAAATTCGCAAACTCGTTTGAATAAATGTAGGTTTACACGTTCATACCAAATTTCATCAAAATCGTATCATTTTTGCTCAAGTTATTGTGCTAACGGACACATAGATATATATATAAATATATATATGAATTTGAACGGGTGGTGTTTTTGGCCTTTAGGAACCTCAAGACAAAAAAGTTAATCGGTCCAGGGTCTAGGTCTTACCATGAGTACTACGGTGATAGCTTATTCCCTATATGGGAAATTCGCTAAAACGAGATTTTCAAGAGACTTGACAGAAGTGACAGGCTTAGGCTACCAATCTAGCTAACGAATATGGAGTCGGCCGAGATTTTATCCATGATAACCATGTAATATTAAACTATTCTGTGAAAGCTGTGACAATGTGAAAAGTTTAAGGAGAACTTTGAAGAAGAACGAGTTTCCTCAGGTTGAGGATAATCTAAATATTTGTGGTTCATGCAAGAGCAAACACAGGCACACCTCAATATCAGGAGAATTTCTAAAATAAAAGGCAAACATATTATATGAAAAGATAATGGGGAAAGATGATTTTAAAGCATGACAGGTGATAAACTATATCGTAATGTTGCTGCAGCCAACCCAAGATTTAGAAAAGTTTAAGGAAATCATCGAGGAGCTGAGAGTAACACCTGACTAAGTTTACAATCAGATGAAAGTGGGTTATTTTACCGTCTTTTACTAGGACCATGTGGATGCACAAACACTAGTTCAGTGTCTTCATCTTCATCTGAAGAAAAACAAACAACCAAAAGAACCTCACAAGAAAAAAGTACCAATGGCCAGATCCCAAGCTAAATCTTTACAACATCTTAAAGAAAACCTTTCTCCCAATGATTTAAGTATAACTTACGGACTTTAGTGAGAACTATTCTTTTGTGATTCAAAATGAAATTCAGAGCTATCACTGGTCAAGACGCGGTTGTACACTTCATCCTATATGCGTTTATTGGGCGAGTGAGAGGGAACTCAAGGTTGCAAATCACTGTTTTATTAGTGATAACTTGGATCATGATGTCTCTTTTGTTAATGATGTCCAAAGAGAAATGATGAAATGGCTGAAAGACAGTTTTCCATCAGTCACAAAGGAGCACTATTTTACGGATAGATGTGCCGGGCAATATAAAAACAGGAAAAACTTTAAAAATATTTGTGAGCATGAAAACGATTTTGGGATTTATGCTGAGCACTCCTTTAATGCCACAAGCCGGTAAGTCAACCTGCAATGGTCTTGGAGGTACCATAAAACACACACCTTGAAAAGCAAGCCTTCAACGAATTGATCATGAACAAATGACTATTGCAGGTTACTTAAATACCCCCGCCACAGCAAACCTGCAGACTAAGCGAATTTCCATTTGACTGATTGGATTTACACTGAAATGTCTACTTAAAAATATAACATTTATTCTCTATTTAAATAGAATTAGTTTAACTAGTACTTAGGTTTGCTGCATCAGGGAGAGTAAAACTGTTTTTTTTTTGTAAAACGTTAATAGTTAGTAAGAAATAAAAACATTTTCCAAATTTGATCAAAATATGTTCATAAACAAGCAAACTACAACAATTTACTTATTCTCCATAAGAATAACATGGGAATTTTAAATTTACAATTTTTTGGAATTTTCTCCGTAACCATTAGGCGCATAATAACGCTTCAATATACTAAATTATTTGTTTTTATAAGCTCTACAAAATGGTTTGGAAAGAAATTGCTAAATTTTATGTTTTTTGGGTCAAAAATGGCAAAAACCTATTTTTACCCCATAAAACCCCCCTTAAACCCCCGTTCCCATGGTCCGATCATGCTGGATCGCGAACTCGTTCGAATAAACGTAGGTTTACACGTTTGTACCAAATTTCATCAAAATCGGATCATTTTTGCTCGAGTTATCGTGCTAACGGACACATATATATAAATATATAAATATATATATATATATATATATGAATTTGAAAGGATGGTGTTTTTGGCCTCTAGGGACCTCAAAATGAAAAAAAAAATCGGTCCCGCGTCCAGGTCTTACCATGAGTACTACGGTAATAGCTTATTCCCTATATGGGAAATTCGCTAAAAAGAAGGAAGTGCCTAATCCAGAAAGAAGGAAGTGTCCAAGAGTTGTAAATCAAGCCAAAAAGCTTGATATAATACAAAAACTTGTACCATTGATGCCCCCAAATAGGCGTTCATTTTGGTCACAAGTGAAGAACCAGATCTCATCACAGAGTTGGATGTAGAATAAGTTCTCAAAAGTGTTAACTATTGACCAGTGATTTTTGCCTGCTATGTATTTTAAGATTATTGTCTCATCACACTAAACTTAAAATTTACAAAACTATCATAAGACCTGTCCTTCTCTATGGAGCTGAAACCTGGATTATCGATAAAAACACAGAGAAAAAACTTATTACTTTTGAAAATAAAGTCCTGCGCAAAATCTTTGGCCCTACTAAAGAAGGATATGTGTGGAGAATTAAACGTAATCAGGAACTAAGAAACCTGTTCAAGGAGCCAGATATAATTGCAGAGGCTAAAAGCAGGAGGCTTCG